CATGAATTTCACATCAAAAAGTTATACAATCAAAAAAAGCAAATAAATCCTTATGGCAGCTGAGTATTTGACCAGCAGCACAGTTCAGCGTCCAGGTTGAGTTCATATGGTGTGTCATGATGGTGTGCACATAACATGGCCTAATTTCATGGCTCTACTCACCACAGAATTCCACACATACGATCACCATTCTGTGCCAACAGCAATAGCAAAACAAGCTGTGCTGATCATGTAAGCACAAAATCTTGTTAACCCATGAAATATGCTAACCGTAAGCACTGAATTGTTCAACAACGGTAAGGAGATCCATGAAATTAGGCCCTGTTTTGCCTACACGAACATTACTGATGGTGCATGAGGACACCAGCATCAACACTCATCAGTTCAGCATATCCTGGCTAGGCTACTAAACATGGAGTTGAATGAACTATGACACAGGTACCACTGGCCTGTCGAATTATGGTCACAAAGCCAAGTCCACAAGCACGGGTCACCAGCCTTCCTAGTCAATGAAATGCATGCCTGTCAGGCCACTGACAGAGATAAATCTGACATCAGCTTCATAAGCACTAGTCCGTAAATAGTTCAGTGGATTATGGAAATTATGTCCATAAGATGGGGTGCGTAAGTCCGAAAATAAAATAAGGTTCGTTAATCCGAACATTTGATGCAATAGTCCGAACTCCGAAGGTTCATTAATCCGAAGGTTCGATAGTCCGAATTTAGAATAAGGTTAATCAGTCCGAAGGTTCAATAGTCCGAAACGAAAATAAGGTTCAATAGTCCGAAGGTTCGTTATTCCAAATTGACAATAAGGTTCGATAGTCCGAAAAGACTATAAGGTCCGATAGTCCGAATCAACGGTAAGGTCCGATAGTCCGAAGTGTCATACTGACGAACCGTATTGCCCATTCGGACTATCGAACCTTATTCTCAATTCGGACTATCGAACCTTATTGTCAATTCGGACTATCGAACCCTACCGTATATTCGGACTATCGAACTTTATCATCTATTCGGACTATCGAACGTTATTGTCGATTCGGACTAACGAACCCTATCGTCTATTCGGACTATCGAACCTTCGGATTAATTAACCTTATTCTATTTTCGGACAAATGAGCCCTTCGGACTATCGACCCTTCGGATTATCGAACCTTCGGACTATTGAACCTTCGGACTGACGAACCTTCGGACTGACGAACCTTCGGACTAATGACCCTTCGGACTTAAGAACCTTCGGACTATCGAACCTTCGGACTATCGGGCGGTAACCCTCTCCATACAGGCGTGTAAATGCGTGCCGGCATTTAGCTGGGGAGTAACCTGCGATGGACTAGCATCCCATCAAGGGGGAATAGAAATATTCTCTGAAACCGGAGATAAATGCCGGCGCTGCCCATGGCCCACTGGGCCACATTTGCTCCTGACAGACTTTACTACTTAATTACTACTTTTTATCATCTAAAAAGTGGTGGGTAAATGCCCCCCTGCCCACCCTCGAAAAAATGATAAATTGAGAATATGCTGGCAAAAGTACAGGTATTTGGTGGTTTTTTTTTTGGGGGGGGGGGGGGGGCGAAATGTGCTTTACCCCCCTCTAGAAAAAAATCCTGGCGACGCCCATGGCATTCGACGTGGCAGTCCCTGGCGGGTAGGTGTGTGTGTGTGTGTTCCATAATAATTATTTGAATAGACGAGCTGTCATGACGAACCGTCATGGCTAACCGTCCAAACGAAAGAACGAAGGAAGTTGTGAAATAAAGGTTGTCAGTGGTAAAGGAGACCCATAGACTGACTACAGGGTTTGGGAATTAAGCTTTTCGTGCGTATAGGTGACCCATTGGATTGTCTGGAAGAGTATATAGGGCGCCAGATATCACTGTTAGATGAACCAATATCTTGGGGTACCGTGTCCTGGAATAGACCCAGTGGTTGTCCTCAAACTGTTCAGTTTCTCCAGGGAACTGTTGGTCTCTTGCATCCGATTGGGAAGGTTGGGGATCACTACAACTCTATAGTCTTGGGCAGCTGAGTACACGTAAAAGTAGACGTGGGGAGGTCACTATCACAGCCTCGTCGATGTACACTTTGTTTACCCCCAGCAATATCCACTCTGGATCCGCCCTTGTTGATATGTGTAATGTTGACTAATGTACCGGTATCTCCCATATGTCCATCGCTGAGCTAAGAATATTCCCATCTATGCTTAGATTAGCGACATAATGTCAGCATAGTTTTGCGATGACAAAATCTTCCATAAATTAAGTAATTTCAATATTTTACCCCATTTGTGTTTACAAGTGTGGATCCAACAGGCTAGAATGGATCACATCCATGTTGCTATTTTAGATTTTCCTTTTATTTAACTGCCACTAAGACTAAAAACTCACAAATCTCTACTTATTGAAAAATGTATATATATTATTATATTTATCTGGGTATAGAGTCAGGCTCTGTAGACGGTTTCCATGACGATTCAAAGCATTTTTAGAAAGATAAATGTGGAACATATACCATGTCAAGCTTAACCAAGATTGGAAAAGGTATATATATATATGCATGTATCTGGAAGATTGAACTGACACCTACCAACCCAAAGGCTAAGAATACCAGAGCCTAGATTCAACAGGACGTTGTTTAACTTATGAAAAATGTATATAATTTTCAATTTGCCAAGACCTTACTCTCAAATTAGTTCATCAGAAGTTGGACAATCATAGCGCCCTCTATAGTTGGTTTTCATGGCAACCAAAGATATTTTTTGAAAGACCTATTCATAAAGAATAGTTGTTCTAAGTTTGATTAAGATCGGTCAAGGTCTGCTCAGGTTATGGCATTTTGTGTCGTCCCCTTCCTACCCTAGTGCTAAGAAATTGACTTCTTAGCTCAATCATAGGAAATTCCAATAATTGGCCTCCTGAGAGCGAGCATCCCTAAATTTTCATCTTTTTTCCTATGGGGAACATGCCAAGGATAAAAAATATTGGTGGCGGTGGGTTCTTGGAGGGTGGTGGGGGGGGGGGGGGGGGGTGCACTGGGACTCACCATAGCCCACGGACTAATTACCGACTTGGCACCAAGTCTACTAATTTCAAAGCTAATATAAGACTTGCACGCATAACCGGACCCATCCATCACACTAACGCTCTTTATCGGCGCCTAGAGTGCGATAGACAAGTTCGGGCTATCTATATCAAAAAATACTTAACAAAGAAATTAAATAGTTTACATGAATTTTCAAATTCTATATTTCATTTAAAAAAAATAAGCGACTTCTTTTCTCAGTCTTTTTTTTCTATCATTTTGTACCCTCCCCACCAGAGCACACATACTCACATTTGTATCCCTGTGTCCTTGTGGAGACATCGCTTTGTTCTCGTGTACAAAATCGTGAGAGGGTCGAAAGCTGTTTTCAAAAATGCTCATATTTTAACCAGAATTACTTTCCTGGCTTGACATTCCGACCAATATGGTATAAGTTTACCTTGGAAATTCCTAATTTTTCAGTAAAATCCATAATCTATTTCGTGAAATCCTTGTGGAGACCTATTCACCCGGTGGAGACCTTTACAATCTAATTTGTTCCGCATTATTAATCCCGGGACATACCGTTATTTCGTTTTACCAAAAACAGTAAACGAACCATTGACCATTTTGTCGTTTTACAGTTTTGTAAAACGATCAAACGGTATTAAGTCACACACACAAAATACTCTTTGTTGTTGTTTTTAATTGTAAAAAGCGTTAAACGGTTAGTTGCTTTATTTCAGAGTGTTGTTTTACAAAATCATGACAATGACAACTGACGGTCAATAGTCTTGCCGACCATTTTTTGATTTAGGTTCGGCAATTAAGCAATGCACCTGAGAATGTTAAATGCGTCCTTGGGATCGAGTCATTGCCTGGGCCCTCCTTACATTTCGTTCTCACGACAGAATTTGCGAATTGGCTATTGAAGAGCTGCGTCGACTTGAACTCCAATTTCCTTCAAAATATCTGCAACTTCTTCAAACGTCTTACCATCCTGTATCCATTGTGAAAAGTAATGTCCTCCCTTGAAGTTTTCCAGCGCCATTTTTGCTTGCAACTCTTTAAGACCCACCAACTGAATCGCATGAGAAAGGGGTCAGGGTCACGCCAGGAATCACACCACGCATTAATTATGGCGAGCCAACACTTCTTCGTGTATTAAAGCATGGTCCCCCTCCACCCCCTTGCCCACCGCCACAAAATGCACCACGGACTGTTAACTATGACACTAAAATAATAAAAAAAACAGTCTGTTTTTAATACTTACCGTTTTGCTGTTTTTCAAAGTTATTTGTGTAAAACTGTAAAACAAAAATCATTGATCGTTATGCTATAATGAATTTTACTAAACTTATAAAACGGAGAAACCGTACTTATCTTAATACCGCTTGTCGTTTTATAAAACTGTAAAACGACAAAACGGTCGATGGTTCGTTTACTGTTTTTGTTTTGGAGGAAATCCAAAACGGTAAAACGAAATAACGGTATGTCCCGGGATTATTATTATACCGGGGTCTCCACAACTTGAGGCATCATTTGCGAAACCGAATTAGGCCTATTGTCTGACAGCCAATAATCCGAATTTTGTGAAAAAAATAATTCAATAACTAAGCGTCCGTGTTTTTTTTTCAATGTTTTTTTTCTCATTCAAAAGTGATTTTTTTTTGGCTAGGAAAATAGCAATTGAACAAAACAAATCTATTTTTCGAGGTGAAACTCGAAAATAGCAAGAGGAATACATACCAATTTTGTGGTGGTTTCTGGTAGGCATGTTTCCGCGAGTCCGCGACGCTATTATATTGAATGTTTGTTTAACGTAATGCATTGAATTTATTAAAATGCCAAAGTGTCTCGTAGTTAATCCAGAATGAATATTGGGATAATTGATGAGCAGATGCATCTCATTACAATATCAAGCCTAGCTTATACGTTTCGCGGAGTTCTAGCCTATGTGTTGGCTACGCTTAAATTAATATGACGTTCACTGCGTAAAAAGCATTGCTCCGTTGTCAACACTCGACAAATGGAAACGTGCATAATATAAGTCAAACAGTCAAGTTCGCTGTTAATGCTAAGATTTGTACTGTGAACCTTTTGTTAATGATTCCATATAAATAAATACTGCAACCGCAACGGATGTACTATGTGCGTACGTTGATCGACTCGATTTGTTTCGACCAATGTTCCCATGGCGACAAAAATTAACATTAATTTGCGCTAGGGACAGGCTAGCTTGGCATCAACGGACGTTTGATGCAATGCGTGTTCATGCTCGATCATTGCATACAGGACTTGTGGGAAGCTTTTGCAGTCATGAACACAAGTGACAGTATTCCTGTTTAAATGACGCGCATCTTGGAATTATCCGAGGATCGACTGAATTAAAACTTCGAATTGTTCTCTTTATACACGTAGCCTACCTCCATTATCAAGATGGAGAAATTGAAAGCGAAATTGTTGATGCCGACAGTTGTGGAGGATGACGATGCAGATTCCAAAGGGAACAATTCTGATAATGCTGCAGCCATGGAGTTAGGAACAACGGTCAAGGCTAAACCTACACTTGGTACAAGTAGATTAGCCACATGGAATCTCCTGAAACGTAAAATAAGCTCCGCAGCAGCTGGTAAAGGGGTACGCATGGGAAGTTCCTTGACTACTCGCTCCAGGCGTCTGAACATCAACTCAACATCTCGACCAACCGGCCCTAAAATGGAGAACACCTATCACTTGAAACCAGACTCTCAAATCATATTCAAACCTGTATCTGTTGTTAAAGAGATTACCGATGTACTGAAGGGTGTTCTAGGTGACATCGAGTACAACCCAGCCATCAGTGGGAGAATAGCAACTCGTTTAGCTGAAGCCATCAAGACGCGTGTCAAGGCACTTCAACTAAAGAGGCATAAGCTAGTGGTACAGGTGGTGGTGGGCTCCCAAGGTGGACAGAGCCTGCAGATGGCTAGTAGGTGTTTATGGAATCAAGAAACAGATAACTCTGCCTCAGCTAGCTACCAAAGTACTACACTCTTTGCTATAGCATCAGTGTATGGTATTTATTTTGAGTAACTAGCATTATTATTTTAGGTTAAACTACACAATGTATACCAGATTCCAGTGCGCCTCATATTGTAGACAATGAGGATGAAATTCAATTTTGGTGGTACAGGTCCAAGCTAAGTTCAAATGTCAGTTAATGAGTTTTTGTTGCATATTTACCCAAGTCAAGTTGAAATAATGTTATATGGAAGATATTAAAATTGGTACCGGTAGTAATATAATATACTAAAAAATGCAGCCAACTGACTTAAACAATTAGCTTAATAAGGACACTTACTGGAGAGCTTTATGAGATGCATCATCGCTGCCCAAACTGAGTAGCCTACAATTAACCAATAGTTAAGTCAACAATGAAGGCATCATGATTCCGCCTCACCCCTACATAAGAATCCTAAATAGAATAAAAATTACAATTTCTGTCCTACCTTGTTGTTTTGATTCGTGATACTTCTTACCGCATCCACAACGGGGCACTATTTTTTTCCAAACACTATCAAGAAAAGACTTCTATGAAAAACACTGTTGTCGTAAGGTCTCTGAAATGCTAGAGAAATCTGACAATTGTGAACATTTTAGTCGAAAAAATATATTTTGTGAAAGACTGATTGATTAATTTTTTTTTTTTTTTTTTATAGCACATAGGCCTACAATGTGAATAGCATTTTTGGGAACATTTACAGCAATGACTTTTGAATGTCCCTTCTGTAAATCTGTTTAAAGGCTGTACAGCATTGCAGTTAGATGGTAAAAACTTAGTTAAGTAGATGTTTTTTATATATATACAATGTAATATCGTTTTTTTATTCCATAAGATATGCTTACAAATGCTTTGATATGTCACTTAGGGACCAACTGAGTTAATGTGTATATATTCAGCTATACTGTAAACGGTGAACATTTATATATACATGCGTATTATGCCAACCACAAAAGCCTTTTGGTGCAATATTATGTTACATGTACACCTATCCATATTATAATTGGTTGGTCTGTACAATTATAAACAGGTATCAGAACTGTAGAAGACTGTTATTAAGGCCGAAACATTTTTGAGGCAAAGCCAAAGGAAATAGAATGCTTGACATGGATCATCTCTAGTTTTAATTTACTGAGTTAAACTGAGAAGTTATAGGAGTCAAAATTTAATACTATAGGTTTTCCCGGCCAATTTCCGAATTTTTGTAATCATTTTCTTATCAGCCATTCAATTTCGCGTGATTTTTGCACATGGTCAAATTGGGGTTTTCATTTTGGGGGATTCGATTTCATTTTTAGGCAACCAAGATTTTGCTCTGAATGTTCGTTTTCGTTTTGGGGCATTCTATTTCGTTTTGGTGCATTCGAGTCTTAAATTGCAGCATTCATAATTAAGACTTTTGACGGTTGACGCATTCAAATTCGAACGTCGGTGCGCTTATAACGTGTTACCATGCCTTTCTTGTTTCTTATTCGTTTATGGGCAATCAGTTTTATCGTTTGGTCATTTAAATTAATAAGATTTTGTATTTGATATACTTTCCCATTTTACTTGAGGTCAATTTTCCCAAAAAAATATTTGCGACTGTAACATTTACTATATGTAAATTAACTGATATGAGGGATGTAAAATGTACCAAAATAATTAAATTGAAAGGGCTAAGATAATTTCTTTGTCACTGCTGATCTTTTCTATACTTGTTTAACGTTTGACCAATGGGCTTCTTTACGTTGACGATTTCTTGACGTGCAAGACATCGGGGCTATGTTTGGCAATGGTTGTACCATCGGGAACACTTCTCTTGTGTACTTTCTTTTATGTTTTTTTTGCGTATGTCTGACCGAACACATATTTAAAGGGCTCATGCAAATTATTTTTTTTCAATGCAAACCTTAAAAATATATACATCTTTGTGTCACATTTAATCTTCTTTTCAAGTTAAATTTTTCCATTTTGAAGGGTGTTTTTCTCGCCTTCTCTGTTTTTATGCTAATGCAAAGTTCCATATTCATGAGCAAAAGTTTTATGTCACTCCGGGCAGATAAATGTTACATGGCTATTTTAGCACAAAAAGTTGCTAGAATTTTGGATATTTTGCTGTGATAAATTTATTTTCTTTGGTGATATGATTCTATGTTGTATCAGTACATGGCAGTAAGCCAATGAGCAATCTTTTCTCACAAATGTTTTCAATTAGCAAATTTTGGGAAAATAATTTGAAAGAAAACACCTAAACTGAACAGTGTCTTCCTGAAATCACATCACAGCAACATGCAGCGCGCTCAGTAGTCCGGAAAAGCAGGGAACTTTTCAATGTTTAAAGACGTGCACTTTGCAATAAAGTCTAAGGATGTCAAAATAGTTTTCATACATTTCAGAGTAGTAGAAAGTTGCACAAAATGTATTCCTGAGAAAAATTCATTGCACGGACCCATTAACTAAGAAAGAGAGGTGTGCATTTACGGATTGAAGACATCATGATTTAGGCCTTCGCCGAGATAATTCAGAATTCTACATACAGGAAGTCTTAAAACATGCTTGACAAAATGTAAAATATGAATGAAAATGAATGCCCGATAAACTACTACTGGTTCAGACGAAATTGAATAAACGCCGCGATACTTTTAATTGGAATGCATCTTTTACAGGGACGAGTGAAGCTAGAAGACGAGAGACTGCTAGAATAGTTAAATTGAACGATTCTTTTGGATTGTCGAATGACGATGTGTATGATCGTTCAATTACAATCTAAATTGAACGAGCCAGGCGTTAAATTGAATTAAAACTTGGTGAAATTGGCTGGGAAAACCTATATTTTAGAGATTGTCACACAATGCAATTTACAGGCACTTGTTCCAGGCAATCTCCACAACAAAAATAACAGCATTGCTGTTGAAACCCCTCAGCCAGAGTGAAGTTATCATCCGGAACCATTAACCTTTAACTCAGCATGGTGACCTTGACCTTTGACCAAGAACCAATCCCAACATGCCTGTACCAATGGGCAACCCCCTACCGAAGTTAAACGCCAAAATTTCATTTGTAACTCAAGTTATCATCCGGAAACCATTTACCTTTGACTCACCGTGGTGCCTGTTGTACCCAACTTGCCTGTACCCAAGGGCAACCCCCCCCCCAACATAAGTTAGCAATATGTGATTTGTAACTCAAGTTGTCATCCAAAAACCATTTACCTTTAACTCACCACGGTGACCTTGACCCTTGACCCTTGACCTTTTGACCTCAAAACCAACCAACTTGCCTACTCCCAAGGGCAACCCCTACCAAAGTTAGACACCAATATCTCATTTCTAACTCAAGTTATCATCCGAAAACCATTTACCTTTAACTCACCACGGTGACCTTGACCTTTGAACCTCAAAACCAATCCCAACTTGCCTACTCCTAAGGGCAACCCCCTACGGAAGTTACAATCCCAAACAACATTTCTAACTCAAGTTATCATCCGGAAAAACTAAGCTGCCCGGACGGCCGGTCTAGCCAGACGGAATTGTGGGGTGATAGCATTGTGTTCCCATTATCCCTTTTTCTAAAGATTCTCTTCTGGGCGATGTTTTTCTATTGTGAAAATAGTGTGGTGATGTGTCCTGAAAGGAACATCACCCCACAAGGGGGGTATGGTCAGAACGGACAGACGGACGCCGTAGGCGATGACAATACCCCTGGCCCTCGAGCCTCTCGGCCGAGGGGTAAAAATGACAGGAATACAGGCGAACCCTGATAAGAAGAGCACTGTTAATACAACATCCTGCTTGTCACAAGGACAACTGTAGGTCCTAGGTATTTGTTTTCCCTTGATTTCCATTACTGTTAATACAAGGTACTGTTATAACAAGGTAATCTGTAAACTCCCAAGGACCTTGTTATAAAAGGTGTTCCACTGCACATGTACAGTGTATTTCAATTCCATGAATACGGTCTGAGGGATTTCCATTAAAGATTGGAAACAATATCAACGTACGGTGTACATGTACTGTTCTCTTCCGGACGGTTCTTTCAGCTTGCAGTGCATTTGGTTGCCCCAAGTTGCGAGAGAAAATTGCATTGTGTGTCTTGGCAAAGTAAATGTATTCCTAGCTATTTCACTTTTGAATTTATTTAGATGTGAGAACAGCAATGATAACCCATGTTTTTCACCGTAAAGTGCTCACAGACAAAAATATCACAGACATCGTAACACAGTTTTAACTCAATAACTAGGGGGGGGGGGGGGGGGAATGCATAACGTGTTATGTTTGACTGGAACAGAATGAAGGTCTCTTATGACACATGATACATTAAATTTTTGAGTTAATATAAATGAAGAAAAAAATCAATAATATAAAGGTAAAAAATGATAATAGAACAAAATCCTCAACAAAATCTAGAAAAAACGCCTCTGATCAGTAGCTTAAAGTAAATATTGACAAAGACTCAAAGTTGAACTAAACAACAGAAAATTTATTACATTATAAAGTGAAAAGAAAGAGTATGTACATGTTGATAATTATATTAGAATGAAATGATCAAAAATTTATTGGAGCACATAAATTAAAATATGACAAAACAAATAGCGAACAACGTTTTATTTAAGAGGAATTGCTTGAAAGTTTTTTTGAATATATATCAGATTTGGGTTTTTGCAAAGGCCGCTGAAGGGAATTCCATAGTTTGGGACCTTGGAGAATGAACTAAGAGAATTCAATTGAGTAGAGCATTTACAATTATATATTGTCAAATAGACTACAAAGCCTAACTCACAAGATGCCTGTATAATGATTATGAAATTGAACAAATCAATTGGCAAAGTGAGAAATTGCCAACATAGGACTAGATGCTGAGTTGGTAGAGCACCGTCTAGTACAGCGTTTCAGAGGTCACAGGTTCAAACCTCGCTCCAGTCAATTTCTTTGTTCAATTTTATTGTCAACTTTAAATGTATAGTCAGCTTACAAAGATTGTGGCAATGATCAGTGATGATGAGTACATCAGCTATTACCTTGATTAAGGTAGTGTGTGTCAAAGTTAGTAAAACAGCGGAATACATTTGCTAAATTTCTTGCATGGCTTGGAACAAATGAACACATGGTTACACCCAGGAGATCTGCGGCTAAATCCTCCATTACAGCACCTGCAAGAAATAAACCAAAATACAGAATTACTGATAATTCATGTAAGTTCAGACACTTGGGCCTCTAACCCAAATGGTCATATTGATGAACATGTACCAGGTGGCTTCATTTATGGACATATGCTCGTTGAATTTCACAAAGGATCATTCATAATTACCAACATTTTCTGAAGTGTACAGAGTGTACTCTTCTCCCCTCACAGACAGTACTTTAGAAAATGTTGTTTTATAAAGGGCTAGGAACAGCCGTAGTAGGAACATGGATAAAGGTCACAAAGCCTTGCTGTAAGGTCAAGGTCATCATGTTTGATTCAGGAAAAGTCCAAAGGTAATTTGGGCAAAGCCATATTTGGCCGTGAAAACTATATATTTTTTTTATCCCTACACTATTCAATGGGCTCTGAAACTATAACACCTGCAATTTGACTGGAAAATGAAATTGACATTTTCTATTTACATGTGTATTAAAAACGTACATAAGGTCACACCCCCTTCCCCCTCCCAGCAGTACTACCTGCACACACAACAAAATCCTCTTCTAGCTGTAAAGTCATTGGCATAATAGCAGTTAGCTTGCCTGCACTAATGTCAAGAGCTATGTACAAGTCTCACTATGTTTATGTCTACATTAAAGGACAAGCTGTTTTAGTTTGCTGATAACATCACAGCCAGAAGGCTGTATTTTTTGTTGATGCTTGTATCACAAATATACTCCTATCTAGGCACATTCTTTGTTGATTGAGAACCCTTTGCATTTCTTCCGATTTCTATTTCTGTAAACTTCCCTTAGCTGTACATGACATTAAAACAACCATCTAAATTTGAGTTGGATACCTGACAACAGTTCCGAAATTTTGGTTGAATTGTACGTGAAGAGGGAAGAAAATCAGGAACATTTTAACCTGAACATTTTCTTCTAACTACTGTCACGTACCTGTGCATAAGATGACTTTTCCACTGCTTAAAAATCGTACAGTTTGTGCTGTTTTACTGAGACACTCTTCTGACAAGTATGGAGGGTCAGCAACTACCACCTCGAAGGTGTTTTTCTGCAGGTTGGCCAGTTCAAGTGGTGTATTGAAGTCATAAAACACAAAGTCTTTGTAAACCGAAAACCTCTTGTCAAACTCAAGCAGGACTGTGGTGCATGTTGCTGGCTTCAGCTGTTGTAGTTTCTTGTAGAGTGAAGGGCAGGATACACATGCTATTCTGCATTACATAGAAAAATATACAGACATGCATTTTACTATTATACAGTCTGACTTGTGTGACGATGATTTATCATTCATACATCAATATTGAGGAAACTTGCTCCCCCAACCCAACCATTTGTTACTCCTACATAGAACCTTTATGTGATAAGACAAACACGTTAGATGATGAGGCATAAAACATTTTGCTACATGTCCTCTAAAAAGTCACTGCCTGTACATCTTCATTAATTCTCCAGCAACAAGTGCGAGTCTTACCCGGTTCAGGATGTCTCACTTCATATGCAAAATAAAATTGATCGAAACAAAATCGCTGTTCTGAAAACCGTTGCACGTGTCAAGAGTGCATTTTATGCCTGGCATGGTATTTCCTCAATTATTTTTGGTCAATTTCCTGGGGACAGACAGACAGACAAACTGACCGACCGACCACGAAGTGACATGTAGAAGCTCCTGCCAGAGCATAAAAATTGGAACATCGTGTGTTATGCATTCTACACTCATTCCACTGAAACTAAGTACATGTGAAACATTCAGCAAATTGAAAGTGACAGGCTTTTTTCCTGTTTTGATGACAAATGGCTTACGTAGGTGCGCAAATGTGGTAGTTACATATCATGCATAATTATTTATGAGCTTAATTAACGTGTTTCATTCACTAGGTCGGTGTTTTAACATGTCAGTAAAGTAACAGTAGAGGTACCTTACTAAATCAAGTAAATATGTAAAATTGTGTCAACTATTCAATTACTTGAAAATGAACTAAATATGCTTAACTTGAATTTTGGGGAAATGGTGCGATATGCAGAGGGAGGTAGTCACTATTCGCCAATAATGAGAGACCACTTATTCTGCACATCCACCTGTGAATCCATGTTGAATTATTTATGCACAATGTCGCAGGAACTTACAAAGCTTGCAATGGAAATTATGCAGCAATCTATTTGTCTCATTATTTGGGTGTTGCACATGTGCAACACACGGGTTAACATATGAGTTAAACATATCATGACCAGAATTAACATGCCACAACTAAAACATATTATTAAATGTTTATATGATAGCACACACAATAAAAGCTACACCAGTGATAGAGATTGAACGTTTGTTTTACTAGGTTTTACTAGCGTTTGTTTTACTAGGGTACTGAACGATGGAGAATTTTTAAAAAAGATAGTTTTCAAATTCTCCTTGAATAAACTTTTTTTTGGACTTTCCTGACCCTGAAAGTAAAGGGCTAGTGACCTCATGTACGTAACTGGCATCAAATGTTCATCAGGGTATGGTCTATCAGATCACAAAGTATGAACTTCATTGTTCATTTTGTTCATGCTTAATGAATGACTGAAATTAATCACTTTGAAATAGATGCTGGTAATTTCATCTGATATGTTGTCACAGCAGCATGTACAACTCTGGATCAGGCTTGATGTTTGTTCAAAGTTTCAAGTTCATGCTGTGTACAATTTAAAAGAAAATTTGCGAAGAATTATTGTGATAGATTAAAGTCTTTCACGAGCAAATGTGGCCCAAAAGGCCGGTATTTATCTCCGGTTTCAGTAGCATGAAACGACCGAGAATATTTCTTTTCCCCCTGGATGATATGCCAGTCCGCCACAGGTTACTCCCCAGCTAATGCTGGTACCCATGTATACTCCTGGGTGGAGAGAGGCAAGTGTGGATGAAGTGGCTTGCCCAAGGACACAACATATGACCAGCAGCTAGATTCAACCCCCTGATGCTCTGATCATGAGTCACAAACCCTAACCACAAGACAACACTCCCCCCAACTGTTGTATGGCAACAGTATACATATCTTTTATTTACATGTCTGTGCTATTTCCTACTGGTAAAGTTTGGAAATACGCTACATATTGCAGGCAATGGTTGTGCATAAAATATGAAACAACCTCATCCATTCCTATAATTACCTTATGCTCAGCTCAATGTACCACTGGCTTTTTTCATGCTCTCCAATAACTTATCAGAATCAAAATTCCTTTACTTCACTTGTTATATTCATGTTCTCTGATGCTGAGCATACAATTCCAGATAGATGAGCGCAGTGAAGAAGTGTTACAGTTGGTCCTTGAGAGTGTTATGTGCATCATGTTCCTTTCTACAGCAAGTTGTGTCAAGCTATGTGTATGACCATATAACAGCACTGTGTTCCATTAGCCCAGGTTGGACGAAGTCTTCATTGCATCACGACTGACGTCCATGATGACAATTCTCTACATAAGACCACCCAAAATTTTGACCAGAGTTTTGTTATGTATTACCTCGTCATAGAAGCTTATTTCACACCTACATACTTTATGTGTCCTTATCTATTGGTCCGGGGGGTTCAGGAATTCCATATGTGATGCTGACCGACGTTAATTAGGAAAATAAACTCTAAAGCAACGTTAAACTTGTACGTGTTTGTAGACTCTTTTCATCAGTTTCTCATCACCTTACCGCACCGCATCGTGTGAAAGCGCACATGCTAGCACCCTCCTTAGTTGGTTTTGGTGGGAACGTGCAGTGACGTCACTCCAGCCAACCGAAGTAATGAAAACACTCCACCAATGACCAAAGCCGAAACATGTTTCTGGTCACGGTCGCTAAAACAAACATGCCCGGTCATTGGATAGGCGACCGCGCTTCGCATGCGTTTGAGGGTGGTTACTTAGTCTGGTTCCATTTAGACATGAGCGTCGGGAATAATTGTCAGGTCTGGGAACCAGACTAGTGGTTACTAAGCAAATCGCGCGTGCGCACTGCGCGTTCACGCTGCACGCCACGGACGTACGTCGACGCTTCATGCATGTACGACTAGACTCGGCGGTGAGAAACTGATGAAAAGAGTCTACAACAACAACAAGTTTAACGTTACTTTAGAGTTTATTTTCCTGATTAAGGTCGGTCAGCATCGCATATGGAATTCCTGAACCCAGCGGCCCAATAGATAAGGACACATAGAATACTACGACGTAAAAATTGGCTTCTCCAACAAGGTAAAAATATTGAGACTATTGGTCATAAATTTTTTCGCCCGGTTTTGAGCACTTCATATCCTGGACTCCCTCCATAATGTAGGGAGGAAAGGGAGTCCACCTGGGCTATGTGTTCCATGTACATGTAAACATAATGAATTGGCATCATGGAGTTCCCTTTGTGCCCATTTCAGTAGGCATTGGTAATTTAGTGCAATATGTCATAAGTACCTTCCAGTAGAACCTGCAGCACGAAGGGTCTCCTTTGCCAGTGCTTCAGCAGTTGCATCAGTGTACCAAAACTGTGACAGGTTCTAATCAAATAAACAGCAAATGCATTCACATCAGGTAAAGGGAGCATGGGCCTTATTCACGAGTTGGCCATTTTTGTCCAGAGCCCTGAATGTAGTTCATTAATTGTTAACTGTTGAATGGGATGGCGCCAGACTATTTATGCAGGCACAATACAGCCTTATATATACAGCCTTATATATACAGCCTTATTTTGCTGTCATTTTCACTTTAAATATGGCTTTAATCATTAGGGAATGTTTAATTACAAATTTTTAATAATTATTGAAGCAGACTGGAATTTATTATAAATTAACTTACTTTCATTTCTCTTCGCAAGTTCTAAAAATATGGCCGACTCATGAACAAGGCCCATAATGTCAATCCATCAATCAGATTTTGCAGTGCTTTTATTTACTACTTTGATGGATACAGGCTACATGTGGCTTAATCACTTTTATTTTAAGGGTCTTGATAAAGGTATGTCTGTAGTGTTGTAGATTCAGCAAGTATTGAAGCAAGAACCCCACAGAAAAACCTTTACATTGGTGAGACAGAGAGGGATGGTAGTAAGCCAATCTCAACCAGCCCTTAAATCCTTCCTTGATATACAGCTGTATCAGAGACCTCTACAGTTTGTATTTTAATAATTTGAGTTGACTGACCCAGTTCTCACTTATTCCACTTTGCACATCAGATGCCTCAGTCAATTCTTGGCTTTTGTAAAACTCCTGCAGTGCTGCCATGGTTTCAGCAGACAGTCTTGGTACGTCATCATCACTGTCACTCATTTTGTCAACTATAAACATATGAAGAATGTTGTGGATTAGTAACAAAAAATCTTCAGAATCAGATACAGCCTGCTTTGTAATTTCACAACCCAGTAAAAAGTCTTGATAATTGCACTACATTTCTTTTCAGCGATTCAAAAATTCCCAGTTTTTGAGACACATTAATGTGGCTTTTTAGGTCACTAGGCCTACATGTAGCCCGATAAACACAAAGGAAAACCAGAAGCATGACAATGCGAACATGATGTTTCTCATTACCGTCCATTTCCAGGTCATCATGCCAACATAATGCGCGCTATCCAAAGCATGGCCATGATGGTGCCATGTGGAGTGAGATACCTGCTACCTGCAGGCACTGTTTGAAGACAAAAACAAACCGACAGGATATGTTAGTACTTTTTTCCCGAGAATGAGGCAGAGAATGTGAGCAGGGCTAATGAAGTGATAGTGCCTCATCTTAAAATTTCACCTTGCTTAAGAGTGTCGAAAAAATAATTACAAATGACATCCCCAGTAGAGTGACATCCCAGTAGAGTGACATCCCCAGTAGAGTGACATCCCCAGTAGAAAGACATCCCCAGTAGAAAGACGTCCCCAGTACAGTGACTTCCCCAGTAGAGTGACATCCCCTGTAGAAAGACATTCCCAGTTGAGTGACATCCCCAGTAGAGTGACATCCCAAGTAGAGTGACATCCCCAGTAGAGTGACATCCCCAGTAGAGTGACATCCAAAGTAGAGTGACATCCCCAGTAGGGTGATATCCCCAGTAGAGTGACATCCCCAGTAGAGTGACATCCCAAGTAGAGTGACATCCCAAGTAGAGTGACATCCGCATTACAGTGACATCCCCAGTAGAGTGACATCCCAAGTAGAGTGACATCCCCAGTAGAGTGACATCCCCAGTAGAAAGACATCCCCAGTACAGTGACATCCCCAGTACAGTGACATCCCCAGTAGAGTGACATCCCCAGTAGAAAGACATCTCCAGTAGAAAGACATCCCCAGTAGAGTGACATCCCCTGTAGAAAGACATTCCCAGTTGAGTGACATGCCCAGTAGGGTGACATCCCCAGTAGAAAGACATCCCCAGTAGAGTGACATCCCAAGTAGAGTGACATCCCCAGTACAGTGACATCCCAATAGAAAAACATCCCTAGTTGAGTGACATCCCCAGTGGAGTGACATCCCCAGTAGAGTGACATCCCCAGTAGAGTGACATCCCCAGTAGAGTGACATCCCCAGTAGAGTGACATCCCCAGTAGAGTGATATCCAAAGTAGAGTGATATCCAAAGTAGAGTGATATCCCCAGTAGGGTGATATCCCCAGTAGAGTGACATCCCAAGTAGAGTGACATCCCGAGTGACATCCCCAGTAGAGTGACATCCCCAGTAGAGTGACATCCCCAGTAGAGTGACATCCCCAGTAGAGTGACATCCAAAGTAGAGTGATATCCCCAGTAGGGTGATATCCCCAGTAGAGAGACATCCCCAGTAGAGTGACATCCCAAGTAGAGTGACATCCCAAGTAGAGTGACATTCCAAGTAGAGTGACATCCCCTGTAGAGAGACATCCCCAGTAGAAACACATCCCAAGTAGAGAGACATTCCCAGTGGAGTGACATCCCAAGTACAGTGACATCCCCAGTAGAGTGACATCCCCAGTAGAAAGACATCCCCAGTAGAAAGACATCCCCAGTTGATGGACTTCCCCAGTAGAAAGACATCCCCAGTTGATGGACTTCCCCAGTAGAGTGACATCCCCAGTACAGTGACATGACATCCCCAGTACAGCGATTCCCAGTACAGTGACATCCCCAGTAGAGTGACATCCCAAGTAGAGTGACATCCCCAGTAGAGTGACATCCCCAGTAGAGTGACATCCCCAGTAGAGTGACATCCCCAGTAGAGTGACATCCAAAGTAGAGTGATATCCCCAGTAGGGTGATATCCCCAGTAGAGAGACATCCCCAGTAGAGTGACATCCCAAGTAGAGTGACATCCCAAGTAGAGTGACATCCCAAGTAGAGTGACATTCCAAGTAGAGTGACATCCCCTGTAGAGAGACATCCCCAGTAGAAACACATCCCAAGTAGAGAGACATTCCCAGTGGAGTGACATCCCAAGTAGAGTGACATCCCCAGTAGAGTGACATCCCCAGTAGAAAGACATCCCCAGTTGATGGACTTCCCCAGTAGAGTGACATCCCCAGTACAGTGACATGACATCCCCAGTACAGTGATTCCCAGTACAGTGACATCCCCAGTAGAGTGACATCCCAAGTAGAGTGACATCCCCAGTAGAGTGACATCCCCAGTACAGTGACATCCCCAGTACAGTGACATCCCCAGTACAGTGACATGACATCCCCAGTACAGTGATTCCAAGTAAAGTGACATCCCAAGTAGAGTGACATCCCCAGTACAGTGACATCCCCAGTACAGTGACATCCCCAGTAGAGTGACATCCCCAGTACTGGCAGTAGACTGACATCTGTAATACGGTAGAGTGACAGCCTAATACCTTTGAAAAAAGCAGTTGAAACATGGCGAACAGTACCGAAATCGGCGCTAGTAAAAACCATTTAAGTGTGCATGGATGGCCATGTTGACCGGTTAATGTGCGCACCGCAAAGGTCCGGCTTGTGCCATGCGAAAACTCACGCTCTGTTATATGTTGGTCAGCAGCAAAAATCACTCACATTCTCAATCTCAATGTTCATCTGACTTTCTAACTTCAAGGTATTTCCAACCCCCAGTTTTCAAACAAGATTTCTAGTTTGTACCTGTTGGTTGGTACCTGTTGACTCGGATATGAGTTGACTCTAGTAGAGTTGACTCAGGTACGAGTTGATTTGGGTACGAGTTGGCCCCATAAGTTAGCTTAAAGGGAATGTATAACATTTGCTTTCGCTGCAATTTTCAGAAATAAATGGATTCGGAGGATTAGTATGTTATAGCAAACATTGTTAAAGTGACTTGTTTTATGTTTTGGGCTTGTAAATGCTGGAAAAACCAAGAAAACATGTTCTTGTAGTCTGGTTCCCTGACCCCACAGTCCCCACTTAAGATGAAATGGAGCAATTTATACAATTTGTAAGGTTAGACAATCAGTCTAGCAGGCTCGTATCCCTTCACAGGTGTGTTATCAATTGTGAACAAAACACGGAATAACTAATTAATTATGAAAAATTAGGAGCAGTTTTTGAAAAAAGCCAGTATCTAGGATGCTGGTCAGCTGACCAGCGTCACAAATTGATGCGAAAATAACATTTTTCTTGAAAATGTCAGCACACCAGGAGCCACGATTTTACAGGATGCTTTAGACTGTCATTCCCTAACAATCCAGTTAAGGTTTTTTGGTGATAATTTGATCATTTCATTTTGTGATGTTTGCAAATGTTGTATCTTCCCTTTAAGTACTGGACTTCCTCCTTACTAGTAAGCCAAACAATGAATATATACCAAAATGTGTGGAAAGGTCTGTTGATAGGGTAGCAGAAAATTTAATCAAGATTGGAATTATTTTGTCACTTGATAATCACCCAATCGATGCTACAACTGCTTATCAGCAACAAAAAGTTGAATTCCATACCTTCAGAGGTATCCTGTAATTTCAGGCCAAAGGTGGACGGCTGTTGGGCAGAAAAGAATCATGTAACGTCCATATTCCTGTAATTTGCTTGAAGTCATGTTCATGATACTCGTGGTTTCCACCAGTGCTGTAATACTCATACTCGGTACTCGAGTACTACTTGACTACTTTTATTAGAGTACTCGTACTCGAATGTCAAAGTACTCACACTTGAGAACCAGAACCGTGAGTCCAATTTTTTTGAAAACCAGGTACCCACTATCCTCGGTTCCAGCTCCAAAAGAATCGGTTCCAGATTAAATTACCCATTCTCTGTGCACAAAACCCAGAGCCGAGAATCAGCTACATGTGTAGGAATTCAACACCGGGACATCATTTAATCTTGCTAGTCAAAACAACAGCAAGGAAAAACCACAGACTCCAAATACATCGCGGAGATCGGAGATACGATGTTTGCGGTCGGGCCACTTGGCTTGCATGCATGCATGCATGCAGTGCATTGCATTGAACCCAATACTAGTCTGTTTGGACAATCAATGTAGCGTGAATTTAGGCATATAAAATACGGACCCATGGTGGTATTGCGCATGCTCCTGCATACATGTACTATGTCATGTAGATAATAAAATGAACGATCACGAAAAAGGAGTCCGTTGTTCACATGAGTCAATGTTTTTGCCACATCGGCTCTGAGTGCTGGAATCGGCTCTGATGGCCCCGGCCCCGAGTCCGATGAGTGCCGCAGGAATCGGCTTTTCCCGGTTCGCACGGAGTACGGACCCGTACCCGTGTACTGGGTACAGCGCTCAGAGTTTTGAGATTCGGATTTCGCGAGCTGTGGGCCGTGGTTCATGTAAAAAAAATCCCCAGCTCCAAACAAGTCTCGATTCTACTGTTGCATGAAAATAAATTATTCCTATGCTTCATTTCTAAAATTTCTTTCTGATATCGGCGCATATGGTGAAAAATAGGCTGCTATACCTGCAAGATAACATTAATAAAGATCCGGACCGCCCTTGACTCGTTCGAATCAGCCGGAGTAAATGTGTACACGGGGCCGGGTCCGTCGGAGCCGATTCCAGCACCGGTTCCACGTGTTCATTGAAAGCAAGGTACCAGTGTTTACGTAGCGTGTGCGTGTACAATGTACTCGTGCTGTGCAGTGAATCGTTTATTCTCGGCGGCATGACGGTGTGACCGCGGTAAATAAAATCATGGGAAAGGAACTAAGAATAAAGTAATAAATATAGCAGTTTCACAGGAAAAAGTCACTGTTTGAAAACAAATACGTAGTTGAAAAACATGTACAGTGTATTGCACGTCGAAATCCACGGAGCACGGCCTCACAAGGTGACACAGTTATTCTTTACATGTAATTTCCAGAGCTTATGTTTTTCATTGAACTTTCCGGGAGCCGATTCCGACTCAGAACCGGCTCTTTTTTGGGAACCGGAACCGGCTCCAGGAAGAGTGGAACTGCTTAAGTCAAGCCTAGTCTGTATATCGGTCTAAATGGGTCTGGGCCAATTACAAACAATGAACCATTTGCTGTATGGGTATGGCCGCATTCGCAAAAGTACTTGTCGGCCTAGGGCGGGCCTACTCGTGTTTTATACGCCCCAAGTATCGCATCGGTCCCAACTATAGTTGGGACTGTCCAAACTATAGTGCGGCAGTTGGGTCGGCCCAACTACAGTGTATATGTAACCAGGGGTGCGTTTTGGCGGTCATAATCAAGAATTGGTTCGATGGTTTCTCTTTGGTTAATTGTTTTTGGGATTTGAGTACCGGTACTACATGATCACGCGTAATTCTAGTCCGAAAATTTGGGACTCTCAATACTGTGTATGGACGGTACAAGCGAAATGATGTGCATGCGTACAAGTGCATGTATCGTACCCCCCGCGGCGTGCTCCGAGCGAACCGAAAATCATCGCTCGATCATAATGCTTGCACGTTTCAAGTGTCAGGTTGGCTCAATGCGGAAAGGGCATATTTTTCATCATTTTGGCCTAAAAACCGACAGAATCCACCTATGTTAGTTCTGCACAAGATACGTGAGTATATCAAGAGATAAAGTACGGAGTATAGGGGCAAACTGTGCAGCGGTTCTGTGTGAAATGGCTGCATTTTGATGGACGTTTTTGTACTTTATTAGTGTTTTGTGCTGCAGGCAATTTTGCGGGCTTCTTGATCTATGAGGCTCCGCTCACGCGGAGCCTCATTCTAGGAGTAACTCAAGCTATGTCTGGCGTAATTCTAACCCAATTAAAATTGCCGAAGAAATTCACCGACAAGAAACCACCGAACAAATTCTTGGTTATGACCGCCAAAACGCACCCCAGGTCGGTAGCCCTGGTGGACTCCCTTTCCTCCTAGTCCGAGTAACTTGGACCCAACTTATCGCCTTTTTAAAAATTTGGACATGGTCTGGCGATAGTAGGGTCCAAGCCCATTCCTCGACCTAGACAACACAGTCACTGACAGTCCCAAAAACCAACATTTTCCAACAAAAAACATCAGATTTCACCTTCAAAACGGCCTCCAAATTACTAGATATGTCACCTGAGGTACAAGTAGACATAGATGATTAAGATGGTTGTACTTAAGTTTACTTACGATCGGGAAAAAAAGTGAAATTTTCCGTTCAATTCTGGAGACCCCCTCTGCCTAGGTTGTCGTTGTTGTGCTCACGTTCAAAACTGCATGATAATGGCGTCTGACCTCGACCTCATGCAAATGTGGTGCGGTGCGCTTGCGCATAATGCACATAATGCAGCATACACGGCAGATTCCCCTGCGCCGCGCCGACGACTGTTTCCTGATGTAGAGCGCTGTGTAAGTTCGCGGTACGCCTGGCTAGCCAGCGCGACTCCCAGGCGTACCGCGAACTTACACAGCGCTCTACATCAGGAAACAGTCGTCGGCGCGGCGCAGGGGAATCTGCCGTGTATGCTGCATTATGTGCATTATGCGCAAGCGCACCGCACCACATTTGCATGAGGTCGAGGTCAGACGCCATTATCATGCAGTTTTGAACGTGAGCACAACAACGACAACCTAGGCAGAGGGGGTCTCCAGAATTGAACGGAAAATTTCACTTTTTTTCCCGATCGTAAGTAAACTTAAGTACAACCATCTTAATCATCTATGTCTACTTGTACCTCAGGTGACATATCTAGTAATTTGGAGGCCGTTTTGAAGGTGAAATCTGATGTTTTTTGTTGGAAAATGTTGGTTTTTGGGACTGTCAGTGACTGTGTTGTCTAGGTCGAGGAATGGGCTTGGACCCTACTATCGCCAGACCATGTCCAAATTTTTAAAAAGGCGATAAGTTGGGTCCAAGTTACTCGGACTACTTTCCTCCCTACGTTACGGAGGGAGTCGTATTTCAATGAAGACTTCGTCCAACCTGGGCTACCCAGGTCGGGTTTCACTTCAGTACTTACTTTTACCCGACTGGTTCCTTACTCCAGCATTCTGCACTTCATATAACTTTGTGTTTATGTCATTTCACATGGTAGCCCCATAAATGTGGCCTATTTACTGGACTGCCTCCGTAAACATAGGCCACACATCCACATGTACAAAAATCGTGTCGATGGAGCCAAATTTTGATTTTCACATTTAGGCTTAGTTAGTAGGTTTTTTTTGCTTTAGAAGCATACTCACCCTCTTTACAGGCTAATCAGAAAGTGCTGCCTTTTTCAGATGTCTAATTTTTGTGAAATTTCATGTTGAAATTTTGATACGCAAACGTGTAAAAATGAATCTGGAAATTTCACGAAAAATATACATCTGAAAAAGGCAGCACTTTCTGATTAGCCTATAAGAGGGCGAGTATGCTTCTAAAGCAAAAAAAACCCTACAAACTAAGCCTAAATGTGAAAATCAAAATTTGGCTCCGTCGACACGATTTTTGTACATGTGGATGTGTGGCCTATGTTTACGGAGGCAGTCCAGTAAATAGGCCACATTTATGGGGCTATTCACATGGGAGCTAGCCTTGGTCAATGCTCTCCTCGTTATTCGTCCCGTACGCGGTCAATCGTCGGCATATATATACAGCGCGAACAGCGACCTCACGCGGCCACTATTTTTATGCAAATCAGTTGAAGACGCAGTCAATTTTGGATTTTTCATATAAATCTGATTTTCCCCACTTTTGCTAAAAATGCAAGGTGAACCCCTTACAATCTGACATTTTTCACAAACACCTGATTTTGCCCTAATTTGCTAAAAAAAGCAAGGTTAACCCCTTTCAATCTGCAATTTTCCAGAAACATCTGATTTTGCCCTAATTTGGCAAAGGTTAACCCCTTACAATTTTTGATTTTTCATACAAATCTGATTTTTCCCAATTTTGCTAAAAATGCAAGGTTAACCCCCTTACATCTGAAATTTTTCAGAAACATCTGATTTTGCCCAATTTCGCTAAAAAGCAAGGTTCACCCCTTACAATTTGAGATTTTTCATAAACATTTAAATGTGCACAATTTTACTACAAAAAGCGAGGTTAACCCCTTTGAAATTTTTCATTCACATCTTATTTTGCCAAATATCACTAAAAAAAGCAAGGTTAACCCCTTACAATCTGAATTTGTCCAGAAAGATCTGATTTTGCCCAATTTCGCTAAAAATGCAAGGTTAACCCCCTTACATCTGAAATTTTTCAGAAACATCTGATTTTGCCCAATTTCGCTAAAAAGCAAGGTTCACCCCTTACAATTTGAGATTTTTCATAAACATCTGATTTTGCCCTAATTTGGCAAAGGTGAACCCCTTACAATCTGACATTTTTCATAAACACCTGATTTTGCCCTATTTTGCTAAAAAGTGCAAGGTTCACCCCTTACAATTTGAGATTTTTCATAAACATTTAAATGTGCACAATTTTACTACAAAAAGCGAGGTTAACCCCTTTGAAATTTTTCATTCACATCTTATTTTGCCAAATATCACTAAAAAAAGCAAGGTTAACCCCTTACAATCTGAATTTGTCCAGAAAGATCTGATTTTGCCCAATTTCGCTAAAAATGCAAGGTTAACCCCCTTACATATGAACTTTTTCAGAAACATCTGATTTTGCCCAATTTCGCTAAAAATGCAAGGTTCACCCCTTACAATTTGAGATTTTTCATAAAAATCTGAAACTGCCAAGTTTTGCTAAAAATGCAAGGTTAACCCCTTTCAACCTGCAACTTTCCAGAAACATCTGATTTTGCCCTAATTGGGCAAAGGTTAACCTCTTACAATTTTGGATTTTTCATACAAATCTGATTTTTCCCAATTTTGCTAAAAATGCAAGGTGAACCCCTTACCATCTGACATTTTTCATAAACACCTGATTTTGCCCTATTTTGCTAAAAAATGCAAGTTTAACCCCTTACAATTTGAAATTTTTCATTCACATCTTATTTTGCCAAATATCACTAAAAAAGCAAGGTTCACCCCTTACAATTTGAGATTTTTCA